ATTCACATCACCAGACTGAGATGCCGGATCTCATTTTGGGCACCAAATGAATGACTAACTTAGCTTCTTCAAATGTTAGTTATTTTTGATTGTGATAACCAAGACCTAAGATCGAAGATGTCTTATATAAGCTATAGCCTTTCACACAGCATTATTGTGGTGACCAGGGACTGCTGGTGGGCCCATTGCAAAGCACACGGGTTCAACTGCATATGTCACACTGCGGACACACAGTTAAATGCATAATTAACGAAAATGGAAGCAAAAGGTTAATGGGTAGCTCTGTGAATCTGATAGCTCTGTTAATCTGATACTTGCTAGTCAGTCAGATAGGCCTAATGGAGGACAGTATAACTTAGCTGCTGATTGAATAAGAAAAAGAGTCAATTAGGGAAGCTGAGCCTAGAAGATCCTTCTGAAGGGAAAGCATGAGGCCTGGAGAGGAAAGAGTGGCAGCCCGGATGAGGGATGTGGACCTTAGATGCGACCAGAGGCAAGTGTATACACCTTATGTTAAGAGTTCATAATATTTGAAGAAGAGGGGAATCCTTAATGCTTTATAGATCTCACCACTCCTGGGGACCAGTTCCTTGCACATTCCAATGGACCAGCTCCTGACTCTAGTCCCAGATGGGCCTCTGAACCAATTTTCAAGTTCAAAGAAGTAGCCACAGTGCCCAGCATGTAGGTCTCCATCCTGAAGCTTTCTACTGTTTTTTTTTTTGTTGTTGTTTTTTATCCTCACCTGAAGACATTTTCTTGATATTTTTTTCAGGTAGAGTGGGAGGGAAAGAAAGAGAGCGAGAGCGAGAGCGAGAGAGAGAGAGAGAGAGAGAGAAGAACATCAACATGAAAGGGACACATCGAGTGGTTGCCACCCGCAGGACCCAACCAGGGCCGGGGACAAACTGCAATCGAGGTACGTGCCCTTAGTGGGAACTGAACCTGGGTCTCTCCGGACCACAGGCCAACACTCTAACAGCTGAGCCAAACTGGCCAGGGCTCTACTGGGTCTTTTTTTTTTTTTTAATTTTAAAATCTTTATTGTTAAATGTATTATAGATATTCCTTGACTGCTTCACTGGGACAAAGGATTATTGCTATAGGAAATTTGAGACTGTGAATTTTCCTTGATTTGTCTCTGTTTTTATTGTGGTTTGGGATATTTTGCTTTATTTGAGCCCTGGAAACCTAAGATTCTGATATATAATAATGTCATTCACTGATGCCCAATTAGATTCCAATTTTTTTTTTTTTAAGGGAGTCAGTCTATACTTGGAGAGTGGTACTTTGATCATTGTAATTACATTGATCAATTACCATGAGCAGTGGCTTATTTAGTAAATACTAAAAGATTCACTCAGTGAATCCATTTATGGTTATGACCACAGAATGAGCAAAATTATAAAAACACAATTCCCCAGTGAAGAAGTGATAAGTAGGACTCGTTACTAGGAGAATGTAATGATATCTCTCTCATAGGATTTAGACTTTTCAGGGGCATTTTTAGCATTGATGGCCCTATTAAACTCTGTGATTTTCTTCCTAATTTGTGCCATTAAAAAATGGCTTTCATTTAACTTCCCCATGGCTCATTTCTCTCCTTCAGAACATGGCTATGTGATTCCCTGATAAAGTCCATGTTTTCACACATTTCCATTTTACAACTATAAGCACCAACGAAATGGCCATGTGAAAGAGGCAGGACATGAGGGACTGACAGGAGAAGAAACTGGGTATTGAGAGAGTTAATTTTTATTCCTGAATGCCTGCTGCCTTTTCGCCTCTTCCCGGTGTTTGAGACCCCCTTGCCTGATGGGCAAGGGCTCTATTCTCACAATGGTTAAGGGAAGGCCTTTCTTTCCTGTAACAAAATGAACACGCAGCACCTTTTGATGACATAGTGATTGCTATTCTTCACCGCAGCCCCATCATGGAAAGAAAGGTTTGCATTTTACCCCTTCTTACTGCCCTTCGAGCTTTATAAAATGCCTCTTACACACTGAGTGGGCCTGCGTTCTCTGGAGAATTAGGAGCCACTTAGCAACCTGGGCACATTCAAACATTAGTTTTAATTCAACAAATACTTAAGCACTACCATCCTCTCCATGTCCTGTGAAGCACAGACATCATGGAAACGTCCCTGCCTGCCTCAGACTCCAAATTTGTTTGTTTTCTAAAGGTAGTCACGTAAGTAAACACCAGTAGTCCAGACCTGATTCCGGTTAAAGAGACAGCAGCAGCCTGTCTGGTATGGACAGTGCAGACTGTGTTTCTCTGAGCATATTCTCTCAATATTACTTAAGGTAAAATAGGCACATACAATATTCAGACTAAGATGAAAAAAAAGGGGAAAACTAGTATGAGAGAGGAGTCAAAGTGATGACTTTTTAAAATGTGTTTGCTCCCCCAGCAAGCTTAGCGTGGCCCTGATCACCACCCCCCTCCTGGTCCTGTACCTGTGCATCTGATTGTAACGTAGCTCCCAGTCCGAGTAAAACGGACCGTCACTGAGTACCAGAGACATACCGACTGGAACATGGGAAAAGCCTTGTGGAAGTGGTGGGATTTCCTGTGCTTTGAGGGAAGGGGAGAGATTTAGCAGTAGGAAGAGGCAGTGAGAACATTATTGAAATGGCAGACACACATGGGGAGGAAGCCCAGTAAATCCATGAGACTGGAGAATCTTCTCTAAGAGAAGCTCTTGTTACACCATTAGTCAAGAAGGTGGGTCACCCAGCCAGTGTGGTTCAGGGGTTGAGCATCATCCTATGCACCAGGGGGTCCTGGTTCAATTCCCAGGCAGGGCACATGCTCCCTAGTAGGGGATGGGTAGGAGGCAGCCAAACAATGTTTCCCTCATCATCGCTGTTTCTATCTCTATCTCTGTTTCCCTTCCTCTCTCTGAAATCAATAAAAAATTTTAAAATGAAAGAAAGTGGGTGAACATCTTCCTACATAAACCTGCTTTCTCTCTTCCAAAAGCTTGTCATTGAGGTTAGCTATTCTGCCACAGGTGATCACTGGAGCATCACGAATAAAGGCAGCAAACCAATATATCACCAAGTGTTCAGTTGTTTATATAAGAGGTACATGCAGCTAAATGGTTTTTCATTTTCCATCTGACCTTGGGGCTTTATATGGGAGGGAGGATAGAAATAAAAGTTTTGCTTAGTATCTATAGCTTTAGAAAAATAGGTGTATCTCAGGGAAGATATCCCATCCTTTTGCTTATATATTGACACATGAAGGGTGTGGGGAACATTATCTTTTTAATTTGTTTCTTTTCCCTTGTTTGTGCAAAGTGGTTTGACAGACTTTCTTGTATCTCAGATGCAAGCCAACAAACTTCTTTTGAATTGCCTGATACATATTGAAGGGTTTATAGAACAAACCTATAAATTTAGAGAGTGCTTCATTTCCCTGGTACAGTTGGGTCAGCTAAGCCTTCAGCTGTCATCAGCTCTGTTTATTGGTGTCTATTCAGTTGGGGTCATGTCTTTGCAATTTCATAGGTTTTTCTCTTACCTTTTGCATCCTAGGAGGTTTTCTTTGGCACTTTTCTCCCTAACAAGTTATTCTAATGTAGGCACTGGTTTTGACCCTTTCATTTCATTTTCTTCAGCATTCTCAGCATGAAAGGTGATTCTTTTATCACTTAATTCCCTACTTTCCCTGCACCCGTTTCCACGTCTATTTTCCATCTCCTTTCATTTCGCCCTCACATATTTTTCACTTTGTGGTTTCCCGTATCCTCGTGCACTCTCCAGGGGAGCCAAATAGAACCCCACAGTTAAAAATAGTTTCTGGCATTATTTGTGATTCCGAAGATGTCGTCTCACAAATAACCTTTTCTCATTTGATTTCCATCCGACGTCCTGACAGTGCTGCAATCTTGTTTTCTGATTATCCTATTACATGGTGCTCTCCCTTGCATTTAGTAGAAACTCGGAAGTAATGGTTCTATTTGGATAGCACTGCCTGGCCATTGTTTGCTATTTTAGGGAATTAGAAAGGGAAGGGGAGGAAAATACCCAGTCTTAAATTCTTATTTAAGAGGCAAGGCATTAATTAACTATTTTTATAATGGCTGAACCACTTTTTATCAGCATGCTATGCTAACACCATCATTGTGGTCTAGAGGAACATATCATGTGACAGATTTTTTTTCTTACGAAGGAGATCACTGTGCTCTCTATTAAGAACTAATGCATTTTAAATTCAACCTCAAAGAGGCAGACAAACTCATTTGACAACCCAGTGGGGGTACAATTTCAGGAAAAAATATCACAAACAAATACATAGGCAGTAACCTAAGAATTCATTTATAGCATTCATTGTATTTACCAAGAAATTATAAATATTCATCAATAATCATGCATAGCCTCTAACAGTTAGACAGCATTTGTTGTTGTGTATGTTTTGGCTGTGCTCTGAAAACACCCTACAAAGAGCTAAATTCATATGAAGCCACAATGCCCAGGAGGCTAAATGATTGCCTGTTAGCATTGATCATTTGGGAGCATAAAAAGAAATTTTCGGTGCAAAAATACCACTTTTCTTATGCATTCTAAAAACCTCTTACGTTCAAGAGTAAATTTTCCTTACATGTATTTGTTTCAGTTGACATCTTAAAGTGCATCTGAGACTACAATACACCATATAATTCAGAGCTGAACCATCTAATAGATGCTGTATGAGCTCTTTGAGGAAATGAAATGATAATGGAATTCCTATTCTCGCTCATAGGAAATGACTGTCCTTTGTTCTCTTCTGCAAAGGCATACCATCATATTTTAGTTGATTTCCCCTGTATATTTCTTTAGGTAAGTCAGTAATTTCAGAGAAGCCAAATATATCTTGCTTTGGGGATGTAATTTGGCTGTTTGGACCAGCGTGTAGTTCTCGGGTTATGTTCAGCAGGCATTATAAAAAAGATAGGCAATTTTTTTATAACTTGGATAGTTTAACATAATTTTTTCCTCTCCTGTTCTTCACAGGTGCACGAAGCAGTCCCATGTTACAGTGAGTGCAATCAGTATTCCTGGGTTGTAGAACACTGGTCTCCATGCAGAATCCACAGTGAGCTGAGGTCCCTGCGCTGTGGAGGAGGAACGCAGTCTAGGAAAGTCAGGTGTGTGGAGATGGAGGCCTTTGGGGAAGGGGGCAGTGGAACTTGCACGTTTCTGTACAAACTGCAGTACTGTGTGTCCAAGTACACTCTGGTTTTCACACAGTGTACTCCGGCTTGTGCTCATCTCTAAGTATCCGCGGGGCACGTGTGCCCTGAACTGCCATGGTGCGGTGGACTTTCCTCCGCAATGAAGACGGAATGCTTACCTGTTCCTGCAAATAACTTTGGTGCGAAAGCCAACTGCATGGAGCAGGCTGGCATCCCTCCGTGACTCGTGGCCAGCACCGTTAATACACTGGGAGACTTGGACTGTGTTGCCGTGCTCTTATAGGAAGAGGAGACGAGGACACAGACACACCCAGAGGAAAAGGCCAGTGAAGACACAGGGAGAGGAGAGACATCCACAAGCCAAGGACAGAGGCCTTAGGAAGAACCGATTCTGCCAACACTTTCCTCTCAGACTTGAACTCCTACAATTGTGAGAAAATCAATGTCTCCTGTTTAGGCCACCCCGTCTGTGGCATTTTGTTAGGACACACCTAGCTAACTCACACATGCTCACCGTGTTATATGATTTATTTGTATAATCACATTTAAATATGTGAAACAGATTTTCCAGGCGTCTTGCATTTTAACCATTGCTGACTTGAATAGCATGCTCTTTTAATGAATAAAACAGCTTATCCCTTCTCCCCCTTAAAACCCACCAACCGGAGGGCATCTTCATGGTTCATCCATGATTGCTATCACTTACAAAGTTACAAGGTATCTTTGAATATTTGCCTTCTGTCACAAGAAGAACATATTCTTTCTGTTATCAGGCACTGTACTAGGAACTGGGGATAAAAATGGTAAAGAGTTCCTGTCCTGCCCTGGCCGGTTTGGCTCAGCGGTTGGAGCATCGGCCTGCGGTACAGAGAGACCGGGGTTCGGTTCCCGCTAAGGGCATGTACCTCGGTTGCAGTTTGTCCCCGGCCCTGGTTGGTCGTGCGGGTGCAGCCACTCGATGTGTCCCTTCACATCGATGTTTCTCTCTCTCTCTCTTCCTCTCTCTCCTTCCCGCTCTACCTGAACAAAAAATGGAAAAATGTCCTTGAGTGAGGATAAAAAAAAAAAGACTTCAAGTCTAGTTGCAGAGAGAAAAATAAACACACAAATAAATATACTGGAAAGTCTTTGTTATGAAATGCCAAGAAGAAACATAAAATTGGGTCAGAGAGATGGAGGATACTATTTAGGGGAGGTTGATCAGCAAAATGCTTGAGGGGAGACCTGAATGAATGTGAAGATCTGCAGAAAGGGAATTCCAGGGAAGAAGAGTCCCCAGCAGGAGCCTTCTCGTTATAACAAGATGAATAACAGACTGTCCATGTGCCTGGTGCCAGTACTCACATCACGTAGTCTAGAACAAGGTAAAAGGAGATGATTCCTTTTATTAACCTGGAAAAGGTAATAAAATATATTCTCCTCTAGAACCCTCAGAAAGGGATGCAGCTTTGCCACAGCACAGACTTAGCCTAGTGAGGTCCATGCTGGCTTCTATCCTACAGAATTATCAGATAATACGTTTGCATTGCTTAGACCACTAAGTTTGTGGTAATTTTTTTTAGTATGTTAACTTTAAATCTTTGTTTTCAGTATGATATTAGGGAGCCATATAGTCTCTAATTCAAAGGTCCTTTTTATGACCCCCTTCCAGCTAATAAACCTGTAGTTACCTGCAGCAACAGGGAGGGGCCATCACCCAGCTGTGGACTGGGAGAGGGGGTCCTGGGTATTTAAACATACTTTCAATAAATTAGGTAGTTTTTTAGCCTCTTTCATCCAGATTCCCAGAGTTACTTAGTGCCATAAACTTCCAAGTAAGTCATGTGTCCTGTGGTGTAAATGGAGTTACTTTCTTTGTTTTTCCTTGAAAGCTTCGTATTTGGCTTTCTTGGTGTTAAGGCCGTTACCACTAACCCATCATTTTCCTTCTGTTGCCTTTGTCTGCTTCGTGTTCTCTGTCCATGCAGGTAATGCCTTTCCATCCCCATTTGCATGAGTATGTGTAACAAATTATTTTACATTGTTTTTGTGCATATGAATAGTGAACAGCACAAAGACTAATGCATCAATTCAACTGATAGCATCGTCCAGAAGTCTTACCTCTTCTTTCTCTGTGAAATCACGAAAGGACCTCAGTGGAGAGGATGCAGACAAGAAGAAAAGCACCTTCCAACTTTTAACTATTCAGGGAAAGACAAATAAGGCATCTCGTGGTCCCTCCTACTACTACTGACTATTACTGCAGGAGAAATTAAAGTCCATGGATAACTATACCGTGTCCCCCTGTATTTATTGGGAGGCATTACATACCTATGTCCTTTCTGTCTGCCATTCTCTGCTACCCTCCTTTCTCATTACTTAGCTCCTAATACAGATTTTTATTTTGTGCCAAGTGCTAGAGTACTATACAATTTTCCTGGGATTTTAAATACGTCTCACTATATATGTATAGGACAGTTCATTTCAGCACACGGTGATTTGGGAGTGCCAAAGCTCTCCCGCCGCCCCTCTTCAGGTGCTCACTCTCTGTAGCTTGGTGTCTGAAATAACCAGGTCAGCAAATGACACCATTTATCTCTTCATCATTGTCATTTTCACCTTGTCTTTGATTATTATCATCAGAAAAACACATTTGAAACAATAAAGATCTTACCTGTCATTTCTTCAATTCTGTACCCCAGTTTCCAGGAAAGGGCCTGGGGCATAGTTAGCCCTCAAAAATATTTACCAAATGAATTATTATTAACAAATAATAAATTTTATCCCAAGAGCTAGCAAAAGAGCTTACACATAGCAAGCCTATATTAACCACCTTTGAAAAAATAATTTAAAAATAATCATCTAATTAGTATATACTGTAAGTGCAGAGAAATGCCCACATTGTAGAGGAACAGCCTGGTGAATTTTCATAGTGTGAACACATCTGTGTAACTGCCCAGACACCAAGAAACAAAACGGCACCAGCCCTGCCTAAGCCCCTGTCAATCAGTAACCATCCCTCCAAGGGTAAGCACTGTTCTCACGTCGGAGACCATAGATGAATATTGTCTATTTCTTAACGTTATATGAATGGAATTATAAAGTAAATGTTCTTTTGTTTAACATTATATTTGTAAGCTTTACCCATGCTCTTTTTGTAACAGTGGTTCATGCATTCTCACCACTTTATAGCATTGAATTTGATTAATTTACCATAATGTATTAATTTTACTGTTGCTGGATAGATGTTCTAGATAAATTATTTCTAGTTGGGTTGATTATGGACGGTGGTGCCATGGACATTTTTGGTGCACATTTGTCCACATCTGTTTTGCAGATGAATATAGACTGGGTTGTTGAGATACACAGTATGTATATATATATATTATATATATATATGTATATTTATATGTGTGTGTGTGTGTGTGTATGTTTGTTTAGTTTTACTAGATACTGACAACTAGTTTAACAAAGAGTTTGTGCTCCAACCAGCAGAGTAGGAAGAGTTACAGTTGCTCCACATTCTAGCCAACCCTTGATGTTGTCTATGTTTGTATGTAAGCCATTCTGGTGGGTCTACATAGTGGTATAACACGTTGGCTTTCATTTGATGGACTCAGTGGCAGGATCACTTATGTGGCCTTCGCCAGCGTACCGCAAAGCCCGACAGCGGGGAGTCCGAACGACTGCATGTGTGCGTCTGTCCTGTGTGCCCAACTGCTCCTCAAGAAGCCTTGCTCATCGCCCTGTGGTTTATGCTGCCAAAACTCCTTCCTGATTTGCAAAAAAACACCTGAAAGAAAAACACGTTCAATTAATTTTCACTTTATCACGACCTTCAATGTGTTGGACAAAGATTGGGGAGGTGTAGATGGTGTGATATGAGCCAGAAGTCTAGGAAAGGTCTCAGCTGTTACCGAGAGATGGATTCCTTTAGAGGAGAGCCTTCAAGATTTGCGACAATAACAAGAAAATCCACCCTGTGCTGGACCTGGACAAATATACCGTAGATCTCTTTAGATTGAGATTTGTTCAAGGACAATAGTTGTCTCGAGTCCCCATTGTTCTTTTCTGCTCGGCTGAGTAAAAGGTTCTGCTCAGTTATCACTCAGTAAAGGCCAAGTTAAATTATTTTTCTAATATCTCTGCTGATCTTATATTTATGTTTGAGGAGTAAGTCCCTCTGATACGTCATTACTATTTTAAATGTTCTCTCCACTGTTTTAAGTAATACATTATGTGGTGGTCTCGCCTTACAGATGTGTGAACACCGCTGTTGGTGAAGCCGGAGCAGTGAACACCAGCCTCTGCGACCAGGATGGAATACCCCCGGAAACCCAACCCTGCTCTCTCCTCTGTCCCAGTGAATGTGTCATGTCCACATGGGGACCATGGAGCCAGTGCCCACAGGTGACTTCTCTTCCATTGTCCAGTCAGTGCCCGGTTCTCCGGAGCCGCCCTCATTGTTGTTCAGGAATTCACAGTGCTGCTGTCAAAAGCATTCTTCTAGCAATACGAAAAATATTTTTTTTTTCTTTTTTTTTTTTTTTTATCCTCACCTGAGGACATTTTTCCATTTTTTGTTCAGGTAGAGTGGGAGGGAGAGAGAGGAACAGAGAGAGAGAGAGAAACATCGATGTGAAAGGAACACATCGAGTGGCTGCCACCCGCACAACCAACCAGGGCCGGGGACAAACTGCAACCGAAGTACATGCCCTTAGCGGGAACCGAACCCGGGTCTCTCAGGACCGCAGGCCGACGCTCTAACCGCTGAACCAAACCGGCCAGGGCCGAAAAATATTTTTACCTAGGAAAGAAAAAGAAAAAAATTCAGCTATTGTGATGGAGCCATTTAAAATGCCAGTGCCTTTTTTAGGCCTTTATCAAAGGAACTGAACAAGGAAAATGAGCCTATAATGATGATACTAGGATTCAAATGTGCTCCTGTTGTTAAAGGGGGCTCTGAAGTACCCAGAAGAGTCTCATTGTAATCTCTTGGTTCTGTTCCATTTTTATTGTGGCAGAATCAATTTTATCTTAGTAGCTCAACTCCACTGTGTAATTTAGTTTCTGATAGTGGTCATCTGTTTTTGTCTTTTGCTGTGTTCCCAAAGATGAGGTGTTCTTGGTCATATTTTCCCAGAACTTACAAAGAACCTTTTTTGAAGTCCAAAGTATTTGCCGTCACTGTTCTTCTTTTTAAAAATGAAAATATAACCAAATATGCCAAAGTGGATTTTCTTCAAGTAGAGTGGTTCACCTTAATACAGTATTCTCAGAAGATAAGTTTTGAAGTTTTATTAGAGTTATATTTCTGCCTAGAGAACTAAAAAATAAAATTAGGATAAAGAACATATTATAAGTGTCAAAATATTAGAAGGAAAGAATTAGGATACTTTGGAGTCAGTGGTGATACTGACCGTTTGTAGAAAGATTGTGCAACATATTTATAAGCAAATGAAAAATATGTTTAAAATTAGTTAATATTCTACATTTGCATTTTAATCATTGATTTCTTATTAAATTTTTTTTTCTTTATTGATCTTATAGAGAGAGAAAGGAAGAGGGAGAGATAGAAACATCGATGTGCGAGAGAACATTGATTGGCCGCCTCCTGCATGCCCCCCACTGGGGATTTGTCCCACAACCTGAGCATGTGCCCTAATTGGAAATCAAACCAGCAACCTCTTGGTTCATGGGACAGTACTCAAACACTGAGCCACACCGGCTGGGACATTGATCCCTTATTAATTATTGCAGTCTTGTCTTTCATGTTTCTATAATTATATTCCTGAAATAAATTTCCTTTGTTAGTGTTATTTTTTTATTTGTTGAGTCCTGGGGATAGCTCAACATAATATTAAGATGAAGAGGTACTAATAGAGAGTAATTTATAGAATAGAATGTTTGTCCTATTGTGGACTTAAGACTAAGTTATTTTTGTGTGTAACTTAAATATAATGAATATTAACATTTATTGAGCACTTACTGTGTATAGGTCATATGCAAAAATTATGTCCTTTAGTCCTTGTACAATCTAAGTACATCTCTTATGTGTTCGTTACACAAATAACGAAACTGATTCTCAGGAAGGCTAAGTAGTTTACACAGGTTCCACAGTGATTGAATGATGGAGCTGGGAATGAACCTGTTCCCTCTGATGAAGCCAGAACCTTTGCTCTTATGTCCTTGGTTCACGTATTTTGGAAGAATTAAGGTGATTTAGACTCAATATTTTTTCTTGCTTTAAGATGCAACATTTTTTAAAGAACAAAGTGAGTTATTTTTAGCAAGTTATAATCTGTGTGATTATTGCATGACTGAGTACATATAGTCGCAGTTTAGAAAGCGTGGTAGCATATACTTTTTATTAATCAACTTGCAGAAGAATTAGCAACCCAAAGAAGTTTAATTAAATGTAGAGGTCATAATTTCTCGCACTTCTTTTTTTTTTTTTCTAATTTGCTCAGAGCAGACTCCATTAGCTGTAATCACTTTGCAATGAGAATGTTTCCCTCTTAAGTCCAAGTATCTGACTACAGAGCTCAAATGGTTTTGGTAGGAGCATTTTATACAGTGTTGTGATGACTGGCATCGTGTGCTTGCCTCTTTGAGGTTCTAAGAGACTCTTTTCTTTAAGGTTTGCTTTGGTAAACACAGTCACTCTATTTTTGGAGGATTTATAAATTGGAGATAGAGAAAATATTTTAACTTCCTTTTATGTACCTGGAAGATGACATAGTAACTTGCTTGTCACCATGAAGTTGAGAGGGTTGTCCTTCAACTGCTTATGTACCTTCAAAGCTACATCATCATCATCATCATCATCATCATCATCATCATAATATAATAGTAGTAACAACAATAGCTATGACAACAACAACAATAACTTTCGTTGAGCACATCTTAGGTAACCAGCATTGTGCTGGAGTTTTATAACAACCCCATGTTCTGATGACAGAATCCAGTCACTCAGGTCTGTTCTACCACGGCGGTTCTTCCTCAGACATCATGCTGTTCTCCAGTATAAATAACGACTTTAAGATAGAAAAAAAAAAGTTAATTAGTGCTCACAACTTATGACTGTCCCTGTCTCTGGATATGTTGCATAAGTTTAATAAATTGCAGCATCTTAACATAACGTGCCAACATCATAAATGCTTACACAGTACTTGACGATGATCATGATCATGATAACAGCCAAGTTAGCAAGCTGGATCTTTGTGCCTGAAGTTTAATTAGCACATTAATGTGCATTTTCAGAGGAAAAAGGAAGCAATTATTGTATAATTGTTTTCTATACCGTGTTGAATCACAGTACAATATTGGCCATTATTTCACCAAATTCTCTTTTGATAGTCTGCAGCGTGACATATATTAACAGAGCCAATTCACCATGTTTTTTGTTTGTTTGTTTTTGCCTCCTCTTTTTTCTTCCTAGGGCAGTTCTTTAAAACCAAACACTTAACAAACAAAAAACAAAACAAAACAAAAATAAACTCAAAGATAAAAGCAGAATATTTCTGAGAGAAAACATATTTATATTTATCTTATATACCCACAAAATGCAGCTCCTTGGCCCCACCCAGAGACTGCAGTCTGGTAGCTCTGGGGCAGGGCCCGTGAATTTACAGTCCTGGCACATTTCCAGGTGATGTTGAGTCAACTCCTTTGGGGGGAACACGCTTTGGGTCTCAAGTCTCTTGGCCATTACATTCAAATCATGTTCTTTCTCAGTCTCACATTAATTACAATATCATGTGGAAACTTAGCTTATATTTACAGATGCTTTCCATGTGCTAGACAATGTATTTAGCATTTACATGTATTATCCCATTTAATCTGCATGATGCCACTATTAAATAGGTACTATTATTTCCCAATGTATAGACGAATAAACTGAGTCTCAGAGAGGTTAGTAATCTGCTGTTTTTGTGCTTGGAAAAGGCATAGTGACCATTTCAGCCCAGGTAGTCTATACAGGCTGGGACAAAAGTAGGTTTACAACTGTGAGTATGCAAAACATGGAATTTATTCTTTTGTAATTATTTGTTAATTATTGTATTAGTTTCCATGCAAACAACTGTAAACGTGCTTCTGCCCACTCCGTACATTTCTAACCACTACAAAAGAAAAAGAAGCCACACTTTCTGTACTTGAGAATATTCTATCTACCCTGTCAACTTTGTTATCTCCTTTTCTAGTTCACTTTGGTTATGAGTTTGTGAAATTAAGATTTTTCAAAATTGAATAACCCATCTCATTTGAATAGATTGTCAAGGAAGGGAAGGAAGGGTCATGAAGGGGTGTGGTCTTATGCTCGGGGACACCTGGCTGTGTGACTGTGGCCAGGTTTACCTAAATTTCTGAACTACAGTTTAATTTTAAGGAAAATAACAACAATGACATCTGTTTTTTTCCAGGTATTTTTAATGACTGAAACAATATGTATAAAGTGAATAGCACAGAGTATAATTTAATACTGGTTTGTTTGTTTTTTTAAAAAAAGGCTGCAAATCAAAGATCCCCCTTACATTGTTTCCATGTGATCGGAGAACAGAAGATAGGTAGCCATACATTTTCTGAATCATATAGTGATCCCTTCCCCCACACAAAATGAGTTATTACTTGATCTTACAGAAATAAAATGACACCACCTTTGCTGAAAAATATCTTATACATGATTTAAGAATAGTCCCCATCAGAAAGCTAACTTTGAATGGTTTGCTGACCTTATAGTAACTGCCAACTGCAAGCCATACCAAAGAGCAAACAAGACAAAAGCACCAAAAATTATATTAGGACAATTTTAACTGTATTGGGAAGGACTGGAGACTAAATGGATCAAGCAAAAATAAACACAGTTCTAGGCAGAATTTGAAAAAAATGGAAAACCATGTGTTCCACTTATTTTCATGTTTTTTTTCTTGTTTCCATTATATATATATATATATATACACACACACACACACACATATATATATACACATATATATGTATACACACACACATATATGTATACACACACATACATGCATACATATATACACACATACACATACATACATACATATATACACACATACACATACATATATATATCATTTATTTTATGACCCTAATATGCTCACTTTTAAAGCATGCTTTATTATAAAAGGAAACTTAGGAATTTCTCATATAAAAACTCTTGCAGTAGTGTTTATTCTTTAAAGATATATGTGTGGGTAAAGACACATGTGTATATGTACACACACACAGGTGTACAAATACATATATGTATGTACTTAATAATGTGTTGTTTGTTATTTATTCTGCTTTTATCTGCCTAATTTTTTAGTTTTTATTTATTCTTCATACTTCAAAATTATGCTGATGATAAGTCATAGAATTACATATTCTTCAGGAGAGGT